CGTGTGGGCTCGGCCACTCTGCCGGCGGAGATTGCCGAGCTCGCCCCCTGTCCGAGCCAATGTCGCCATGGCGACGCCAGAAGAAAGGCTTTGCCTCCCGGGCCGCTCCGCGCATGGAGGCACCTGGGCGACGACGCTGGCGCGCGCGCAGTGGCTCGAGGGGGGTGGCGACGGCGTGCCTTTTGCCGGCGCGGAACTTTATTCTGACGGGGCAGTCTGCGAGGCGGGCTTCTCGCCAGCCATCTCGGCGCGTGCGTTGGCCGAGATGCTGCCGGGAGAGGCGCGGCGCGACCCTGGGCCGCGGTCTGCGGTCAGGGCCCTGGGCGCGCCGCTCCCGGGCCCAATGCAGTCTATCGACGGCTCGGAGTGTTGGGTTTGCTGGTCCCGCTGAAGCGCTCGCCCCCGCCCGTCGCGGCGGCCTTCGACGCGCCGCGCGTCGCCGGAGGCGTGCTGGAGAGGGTCCGCGAGGGCGCCCGAGGCGGCGTCGGCGTTGGGGTGCACGTGGGGGCGCGTGTGGAAGGCGCCGGACGGCTTCGGCGGGCTGGGCGAGCACGGCCTCGCCATCGAGAAGGTCGAGGGGCGCGCTGCCGTCGAGGGCGCGGGCGAGGGGGCCTTCGCGAGGCGCGACCGCCGCGGCAAAGTTGAGGGCGACGGGTGCGCGAAGTTCGCGTCGGACACAATCGGGGCGCCAGAGGGGGCGCGCGTGGCCCGCGAGCGCTGGGCGCCCGCCCTGGACGGGGCGGTCCACTGGCTGGGGCGCGCCGGCAACTTGGCGGCCCAGTTGCGCGCTGACTTCGACGATCGACGCTTGAGGTTTGAGAAGGGGCCGCCCCTCAGCGCGACGATGTGCGACGCGATCGTGATCGAGGGCGGCGGCGGCTAGTGCAGGTGCTGCCTGCGCGCGGCCCAGTCGGGGCAGGGGTCTCGGAGGCTGCTCTCCCGCCGGCGCAACGTCGAGGCCTTCGCCTCGGACGTCAGCGGGGTCCGGCGGAAGCTTGGCGTCGTCTCAGCCGCGCCGCCCGCGAGCGCGGCGGCCGCGGCCCTGGCGGCGGCGACGAGGCTGGGGCGCGAGGAGGGCCGGATGCCGCGCTTGGCCGAGGCCGCTGCCTCCTCCGCGGGCGCCAGCTCGCCCCGTGAACCGCCTCGTCAGGCGACAGGCCCGGCCCCGTCCTGGGGGCGGGTGGCCGTGGGGATTGATGGCAGGCCGCAGCGGCCGCGGCGACGCCCGGGGGGCTCCGCGGCGCGGGCGTCGAGGGCGTCGCGGACAGCCGCGACTTAGGGGCGGTCGACGGCCGCGGGGTCTGCGGGCGGTGCTGGTTGCGCGCCGGAGTCCAGCGAGGCGAGCGCAGGCGGCGCGATGCTGGGCCTTCCCCGCGCGCCCGCGTGCGCGAGGTCAGGGGCGTCGCAGACGGGCCGGGGCCGAAGTCCAGCGAGCCGCCGAAGTCCAGCGAGCCGCCGGAGGCGAGCGCGCGCGCGGGCCCATCCCTGCCATTTCGGCGAGGGCTCGAGCGGGTCGCGTCTTTTCGCGGCCCCGCGGCTGCCTGGCAGGGGGCGTCCTGTGCACGCGGCGCCCGTGGAGTTCAGCGAGGCTGTCGCTTTGGGCGGTTGAGCTGGGGCTCTCTCGAGCGGTCGGTGCTCGCGGCGAGCGCCGCGCAGGCCATGCAACAAATGTCCCGTTGGCGCAGCCCGCATCTGGGCGCCGCCCCCGATTCGGCACGCCCCTCGCGCGTTTCGTGGCCCATGGGAGGCTCCGCCGGAGGTCCTACTAGCGCAGCCCGCATGTGGGCGCCACCTCCGTGTCGGCACACCTCTCACGCGTTTCGTGGTCCCATAGGAAGCTCCGCCTAAGGTCGTATTGGCGCAGCCCGCATGTGGGCGCCAACTCCGTGTCGGCACACCACTCACGCGTTTCGTGGCCCCATGGGAAGCTCCGCCTAATGTCGTATTGGCGCAGCCCGCATGTAGGCGCCACACCCGTTTCGGCACACCCCTCACGCGTTTCGAAGCCGCAGTTGGAGCCCCGCCTAAGGTTCCATTGGCGCGGCCCGCATGTGGGCGCCACCCCCGTTTCGGCACGCCCCTTACACGTCTCGTGGCCGCACAGGAAGCCTCGCCAGAGGTCCTGGTGGCGCAGCCCGCATGTGGGCGCCACCCCCGTGTCGGCGTGCCTTCACACACTTCGTGGCCCCACAAGGAGCTCCAGCTAAGGCCCCCATGGCGCAGCCCGCATGTCGGCGACGCCCCCGTTGCGGCGCGCCGTTTCACGTTTCGTGGCCCCACATTGAGATTCACGTAAGGTCTCATGGGCGCAGCCCGCATGTGGGCGCCACTTCCTATTTCGGCACACCCCTCATGTGTACGGTTTGTGGCCCCACAGGAAACTCCACCTAAGGCCCTAGTGGCGCAGCCCGCATGTGGGCCCCACCCCAGTGTCGGCACACCTCTCACGCGCTTCGTGGCCCCATAGGAAGCTCCGCCGGAGGTCCTATTGGCGCAGCCCACATGTGGGCGCCACCTCCGTTTCGGCACACCACTCACGCGTTTCGTGACCCCATAGGGAGCTCCGCCTAATGTCGTATTGGCGCAGCCCGCATGTAGGCGCCACACCCGTTCGGCACACCCCTCACGCGTTTCGAGGCCGCAGTTGGAACCCCGCCTAAGGTTCCGCTGGCGCGGCCCGCATGTGGGCGCCACCCCCCTTTCGGCACGCCCTTTACACGTCTCGTGGCCGCACAGGAAGCCTCGCCAGAGGTCCTGGTGGCGCAGCCCGCATGTGGGCGCCACCCCCGTTTCGGCGTGCCTTCACACACTTCGTGGTTCCACAAGGAACTCCAGCTAAGGCCCCCGTGGCGCAGCCCGCATGTCGGCGACGCCCCCGTTTCGGCGCGCCGTTTCACGTTTCGTGGCCCCACATTGAGATTCACCTAAGGTCTCATGGGCACAGCCCGCATGTGGGCGCCACTTCCTATTTCGGCACACCCTCATACGGTTTGTGGCCCCACAGGAAGCTCCACCTAAGGCCCTAGTGGCGCAGCCCGCATGTGGGCCCCACCCCAGTGTCGGCACACCCCTCAAACGCTTCGTGGCTCCACAGGGAGTTCCACCTACAGTCCCATTGGCGCAACGCGCATGTGGGCGCCACCCCCGTTCCGGAACGCCAATTGCACGTTTCGTGGCCCCACAGTGAACTCCGCCGAAGACACGGACGACACAACCCGCATGCGGGCGTTGCTCCAGGAGGAGTTCCACGGCGCACGGGGTATTCACAACTGCGTGCGATTGGGTTCTTAACCGGGCTAATTTTTCAAGGACGTCAGACCGTGCCCCCAGACCTACAACAACGTATTTCCCCACAGTGTATTGAAACTTTCTTGGTTTTCGCTAGGGTTGTCCCAACCATCTTGTGGTGTTGGGTCCTCGTTTTGAACAGACGGTCCCCGCGTTCTCCTCCTCCTTTCTCCCTCATCCCCTCCTCCCTTCTCCATCATCATCGTCGTTACCTGTTCCAGCAACCCTTCACACGCTTCTTGCTCCCATATGGAGCTCCACCGAAGATCCCAGTGCTACCGCCCGCATGCGTTTCCCCCACCCAGTACAGCGCTTCGTGGCTCCATAAAGGGGCCCCACCGACGGCCCCAGTGCTACCGCCCGCATGCGCCCCCCCCGCTCAGTACGGCGTTTCGTGGCCCCAAGGGGAGCTCCACTGACTGCCCCAGTGCTACCGCCCGCGTGCGTCCCCCCACCAAGTACAGCGCTTCGTGGCCCCACATGGAGCTCCACCGAAGGTCCCAGTGCTACCGCCCGCATGCGCCCCCCCCCAGCCCAGTACAGCGTTTCGTGGCCCCCATACGGAGCTCCACCGACGGCCTCAGTGCTACCGCCCGTATGCGTCCCCCCCACCCAGTACAGCGCTTCGTGGCCCCATACGGAGCTCCACCGACGGCCCCAGTGCTACCGCCCGCATGCGTCCCCCCCACCCAGTACAGCTGTTCGTGGCCATGTAGGGAGCTCCACCGACGGCCCCAGCGCAACCGCCCGCATGCGTCCCCCCCCACCCAGCACAGCGTTTCGTGGCCCCATAGGGTTCTCCACCGACGGCCCAGTGCTACCGCCCGCATGCGTTCCTCCACCCAGTACAGCGCTCGTGGCCCCATGGGGAGCTCCACCGACGGCCCCAGTGCTACCGCCCGCATGCGCCCCCCCCACTCAGTACGGCGTTTCGTGGCCGCATGGGGAGCTCCTCTGACGGCCCCATTGCTACCGCCCGCATGCGTCCCCCCCCTCCCACCCCCCCAAGTACAGCGCATCGTGGCCCCGAGCGGAGCTCCACCGAAGGTCCCAGCGCAACCGCCCGCATGCGTCCCCCCCACCCAGTACAGCTGTTCGTGGCCATGTAGGGAGCTCCACCGACGGCCCCAGTGCTACCGCCCGCATGCGTCCCCCCAACCCAGTGCAGCGTTTCGTGGCCCCATGGGGAGCTCCACCGACGGCCCCAGTGCTACCGCCCGCGTGCGTCCCCCCAGCAAGTACAGCTGTTCGTGGCCATGTAGGGAGCTCCACCAAAGAAGATATTCAAACTTGCGGTACTCACAAACATTTTTCACACTTGCGGTACTCTCATTTTCATATGGTTGGGTCCTTCGCCAGGATAAGTTTCGCAATTCATTAAGTAATTGCGCTTTTGTTTGAGACCACCTTACACGTTAGCCACGGACCTTGTTACGATTTACCCAGGAGCCGCGCTCTCGCCTAAGATTTCCTTGCCGTCCCCTCTTGCTAATCCCTCTCGTCCTCCATCTTCTCCCTCTTTCCCTCTTGTCCCCTTCCCTTCTCTCTCCCTTTATCCGCTCCCTTCCTCCCTGTTTTAAGGGATGTGTCAATACACGTGACAGGGAAGGAAGGTAAACCCCCAAGCAGCGGTGGAGTCGTGCCCTATCCCTCGTCCGTCCTTCCCTCCAGCGCTGCCCCTTGCGCGCTACGCGCGCGACGGGTCGCCGCAGGACACCTACCGTGGCGTGACGGATCCGATGGACCAAGCGCTGCTGCCGACCTGGAGCCGCGCCGCACTTGCCCTGCTTCTCTTTCGGGGGCGTCCAGGAGCGGGGTGGCAGAACAAGTCTTATATGTATGCGTATGTATGTGGGATGTACACACATACACGCATGTAATTGTTCATGTGTGTGTCTACATGTCTATGTACTTACATATTCGTACCGAAGCGAAGGAGAGCCAGCGCCTCACCTACCTCACAGGGTCCACTTGGATCCGATCGTTCCGATTCGATGTCGATTCTGGTCGGGTCGATCCGATTCGTCTCGATGCTCTGATGATGCTATGCGGCCCGAGTCCTGGAGATCCCCGACCTATCCCCATCCGTGCTTGTCCTCGTCCTGCCCCAGGAACACGTACCCCAAGATGTACGCGGAGATGAAGGCTGCGAGCCCTGCTGCAGCCCTGCGTCTGCTTGGTGCGGGGCAGGACGCGGGGCACACTCGCTGTGCCCCGACGGCCGGTCTCCGCCTTGTGCGCGCGCCGGGTGACCACGGGCGCTGGGCCGGTCCTTGCTGGGGCGGTCCTTGCTTGGGGCGCTGGGCAGGTGCTTGTGGGCGGTCCTTGCTGGGGCGTGGCTGGGGCGAGAAAGAGGGAGACGATGAGGAGGAGGAGGAGAAGGAGGAGGAGCTCTGCATCTCCCTCACGGTGCTGGACAGGGTGACGGCGCGGCGCGGTCGCGCGACAGACCGCGTCTTGCCGCTCGAGGAAGAGTAGGAGTAGAAGTAGGAGTAGGAGCAGGAACAGGAGTAGGAATAGGAGTAAGAGTAGGAGTAGGAGTAGGGGTCAAGCTAGCCAGCTCGAGTGAGTCAAGCATGGCATGCCCAGTCCCACCCGCCCTCCCACAACATAAGAAGCAAAGCTGGCACAACTGGGGGCCGAAGTCACACCGGCCAGCCGGTTTGGTACAGCTGATGCGGCCGCGATGGCGGTTGCCGACGGGAACTGGCGAGCGCGTGTTGAATGCCGCGCACGCATTGCCAGACGAGTCGAGAATGGCCCGGTACACCGCAGGAAGCCAGAGGTGGCCGGAGGAAGCCCGACGGTCTGACAGGACACCCCAAAGCATTTTTGTGAAAAAGCATTGGGTTTTTGATGTTTTTATGTTGAAATGCTTGCAAACACACGGTGTTCGGTAGGATTCTGACATGAACGCGCGAGTGTGCTCTTTGTGGTATTTTTTGCACAGGATTCGCGGCCTGGGTGCATGACAGAGCATCGCGAGTGCACCGCGCGATGACGTGAAATCGCTGGATTTGACAGAATTCTTAAGATTCCTATGGTTTTCCTATGATTTCAGCAAGAGAGCCCGGGCGGGAAATTTGTACAATTTTTGTGAAAAAGCATTGGGTTTTTGATGTTTTTATGTTGAAATGCTTGCAAACACACGGTGTTCGGTAGGATTCTGACATGAACGCGCGCGTGTGCTCTTTGTGGTATTTTTTGCAATGGATTATCGCCGTGGACGACAGGACGTCCATGTCGAGAGGAAAAAATAAGAAAAATGTTGATTTTGTATTGTTTTTTACAGGTTAGGATGGGACCACCCGGATGCGCCCGCTATCTGCCGGCCTGAGGGGGGAGTAGGAGTATATTCTAATAAGGAATAAGGATAGGAGTGGGGGGACTAGTAGTAGTAGTAGTAGTAGTAGTAGTAGTAGTAGTAGTAGTAGTAGTAGTAGTAGTAGTAGTAGTAGTAGTAGTAGTAGTAGTAGTAGTAGTAGTAGTAGTAGTAGTAGTAGTAGTAGTAGTAGTAGTAGTAGTAGTAGTAGTGTAGTCGTAGTAGTAGTAGTAGTAGTAGTAGTAGTAGTAGTAGTAGTAGTAGTAGTAGTAGTAATAGATAATAGTAGTAGTCAGTAGTAGTAGTAGTAGTAGTAGTAGTAGTAGTAGTAGTAGTAGTAGTAGTAGTAGTAGTAGTTAGTAGTAGTAGTAGTAGTAGTAGTAGTAGTAGTAGTAGTAGTAGTAGTAGTAGTAGTAGTAGTAGTAGTAGTAGTAGTAGTAGTGGTAGTAGTAGTAGTCGTAGTAGTCGAGTAGCACCAATCGAAACCAATGCCCTAGCCAGCCCAACCAGCCAGCCCAACCAACCAGCCACCCAAACAACTCAACCGGCTCAACCAGCCCAACCAGCCACCCCGCAACCCCAGCCAACCCGCCACCCCGCCAACCCGCCCACCCCCGCCGCCTGCCCTCCGTCACCGTCGAGAGGGGGGGGGAAGTGTTTCTTACAAGCGAAAACCACAAAAATCACCCTCACGGGGTCCGGCGGGACAGCGGGGGGAGGGGAAATCGCACCGTACTATGGGGGAGGGGGATTCGCGCCCGAGGTGCCCAAGGACGATTTTGGGCCTCAAGTGCGACACTGTCGTCACTTTATGACCTTTCACCGCGCTCCCCTTCTCAACGGAAAGGCTCCCATCCGTGAAACTGTCGTCATTTTTCAGCTCCCGAGAGAGGCTTCTTAGAGGCCCCCAGAGGCTCCAGGAGGGCCCATGGCGGCCTCGGGAGTGCCTAGGAGATCTCCGGAGGGCCCCAGGAGGACCCACTCTGCACCGCGCCCCCCTTCTCAACGGAAAGGCCCCCATGCGTGAAATTGTTTTCATCATTCCGCCCCCGCGAGAGAGTTCTTAGAGGGCCCACGGAGGCTCCAGGAGGGCCCATGGCGGCCCCGGGAGAGCCCACGAGATCTCAAGAGCCCCCCCGAGGACCCATTTTGAATTACACTCAGGGGGCTCCAGAGGGCCCAGGAGGCTCCAAGAGGCCCCAAGAGGCCCCGAAGAGCCCAAACAGGCCACAGGACCCCCAGCACGCTCTAGGAGAGCCAAGGCGACACCAAGAGGCTCCAGGACGGGCGTCATTCCCTCTCCTCCTCCTGCTCGTCGTCGTCATCCTTCTCCTCATCCGTCCTGCTGCAAATCCTTCCTCCCCCTCTTCCTCCTCCTTCTCCTCCTCCTCCTCCTCCTCCGCCTCCTCCTCTTCCTCCTCCTCCGCCTCCTCCTCCTACCTCATCCGTAACCTCGATGGCTCCGATAGCGCCGTGCGTGAGATCCGCCTCCTCCCCATCCGTCCTCTTCCCTCCTCCCTCCCCCTTCCCTCCTCCATCCTCCCCCTTCCCCTCTCCTGGGAGCGTCACAAAGAGGCCCTCCGAGGATAATTTCACGAAAGCAAGGGCGCCGACACGATGAACCAACACCACGTCGGGGCTCTGGGCACGGAGTCGAAGGCGAAACCTCGAATAACTTAGTCTTCAATGTTCGGTGCATTTTTCTGACCACCTGCGAGCCTTGTGGAAACTCCCGAGAGCCTCAGAGGTGGACGTCTGGCACAAGAACACGAAAGGCGGAGGAAACAACACGACGCTCCACGGAGTAAGCTGCACCCAATTGTTTTCTATCCCCGTGACGGGCGTTACAGGGTAGTAGTAGTAGTAGTAGTAGTAGTAGTAGTAGTAGAAGTAGTAGTAGTAGTAGTGGTAGTAGTAGTAGTAGTGGTAGTAGTAGTAGTAGTAGTAGTAGTAGTAGTAGTTGTAGTAGTCGTAGTAGTAGTAGTGGTAGTAGTAGTAGTAGTAGTAGTAGTAGTAGTAGTCGTAGTAGTACTATAAGTAGTAGTGGTAGGAGTAGTAGTGGTAGTAGTAGTAGTAGTAGTAGTAGTAGTAGCAGTAGTAGTATTAGTAGTAGTAGTAGTAGTCGTAGTCGTCGTCGTCGTAGTAGTAGTAATCGTAGTAGTAGTAGTAGTAGTAGTCGTAGTAGTAGTAGTAGTCGTAGTAGTAGTAGTAGTAGTAGTAGTAGTAGTAGTAGTAGTAGTAGTAGTAGTAGTAGTAGTAGTAGTAGTAGTAGTAGTAGTAGTAGTTAGTCGTAGTACTAGTAGTAGTACTAGTAGTAGTAGTAGTAGTAGTAGTAGTAGTAGTAGTAGTAGTAGTAGCCGTAGTAGTAGTAGTCGTAGTCGTAGTCGTAGTCGTAGTAGTAGTAGTTGCCGTAGTAGCAGAAGTAGTAGTAGCAGTAGCAGTAGAAGTAGTAGTGATAGTAGTCGTATGAGGCTCACCTGGAGCCTCGGCCCCCCTGGGCCTCGAGAGCGGCCTCCTCGAGCCGCCCTCGGGCCCGCCGGGCCCTTGCGGGCCCTCGGACCCCGGGCGGGCCCCCCCGCGCCTCCCCCGCGCTTCTGAGGAGAGGGAGGAGGGGGGCCTTTCTCCTCTTGAGCCACGCGGCGGCGCGGGGCAAGCAGCCGCCGTCGCCGGGGCCGTCGTCGCCGGCCCGCACTCCGCCGCCTGTGCGCCCATGCCGCTCCTCACGTGCCCCTCTCCTCGAGCAGGGCACCACTCCGCGGCACAGGCGCCCCGGCACGTCCTCCACGACGTGCCGCTCCACAAAAAATGAAGTCGATGAATTCCTCGAAGTCGCCGAACTCGGCGCCATGCAGTCGCTCATAGCTCCCGGCGCTGCCGGGCGTCGACGGCGCAGCAAAATGCCGCGCTCCTGCCATCTCGGCGCCACGGCCGCTGGGCCTCTCGCCCAGATGGCCTCCAGCGCCCCGCGCCGCGGCCGCTGAGCCTCTCGCCCGGCGGGCCTCCAGCGCATCACGCCTCGGCGCCACGGCCGCTCGGCCTCGCGCCAGCCGGCCTCCGGCGCCTCGCGCCTCGGCGCCCTCACCGGGCCGGCGACGGAGGAACTACCTCGCCGATCCCGTCCTTGAAGGGCGCCGCCGCCTCGAACAGCTGCTCGAACCACTCCTTCTGCTCGAGCACCGTCTCCTCGGATAGCTCCTGCAGGCTGGCCCCGCGTTCCACGTTGCCCAGGCTGGCAGTCGTGAAGTTGCAGCTGCCCAGCACGATCTCGCGCTCTGTCATCATCACCTTGGCGTGCAGCCGCGAGCCCTTGTGAGCGCGCACCTCGCACCCGCAGGCTCGGAGCCGCTGCAGGCGCGGCCCCTGGTTGTTGGTCAAGGCCTTGTCACGGCCGCTGAACACCAGACGGGCTGTGAGGCCTCGAGCTCGAGCCGCCTCCAGGTAGTTCACCACGCCCGGCTGGTCGAAGGTGAAGCACGCCACATACACATAGCTCTCGGCCTCACCGCAAGCCCGCGCCCAAGCCGCCAGCGTCTCCGACGCCGAGAGAAACTCGGTCACGGCTCCGCGCCTGGAGGTCGCCCCCAGCTGCGCCTTCAGCTGCTGGACCTCCTCGCGCAGGCGCACGACCTCGGCCTCCGAGTCGCGGAGCTCCCGCACGGCCCCCGCGAGGCCAAGGGAGTCGCTCGGCGCCAGGGCCGCGCGTCGCTGAGGCCCAGCGGCAGCTCCCTCCTTGCGGCCAGCCGCGAGCGCCAGCTCCACCAGCTCGCTGAAGTTGCCGTCCACCGCGCAGCACCAGGCCGCCCCGATGTGCTTGCAGGGGCTGCCGGCGCCGCCGACGAAGTCCGCACAGGTGCACGATGCGGGGAGCAACGCCGCGGCCAAGCGTCCAGCGCGAAGCCGCACATCGTACCGCACGCCGCGGCTGCCGGCCACCTCAACCTCGAACTCGCACAGGTCGCCCGCGTCCTTCACTGCTGAGCTGCGCGCAGCCTCCACCAGCTTTGCGGACACCACCGCACCGCAAGCGGCCAGGTCGCGCGCGCGCGCGGCGCGCTGGCGGTCCGAGTGCTCCAGGTCCCGCAGCGCCACCGCCGCGCTCCGCTGGATCTGGAGGACCTCCGCTCGGGGGCGTGCCGCCGCTCCGAGCAGGGGCGTCTCGAACTCCGCCTCGCGCCACAGCGCCACCACAGGGCTGGCGGCGCCATCTGCTGATGAGAGGGCCCCGCCCGGGCTCCTCCCAGCGGCTGCCGCCCTGGCCATCGGCTCGCGGCCGAAGGCGGGCCCGTCGCCGGCCTCGCAGGCTCGCGCGCTGGACGTGGGTCCGCGCTGAGCTGCCTCGCCGGCGGTGGCGGCCCGCTCCAGCGCCGCCCGCTGCGAACGGCAAGCCACCCACGAGCGCAGGCAGTAGAGAGCGTAGCAGCACTGCACGACGACCAGGACGCGCACCACCAGGACCGCACCCTCGCACACCTCGTGGATGAGGCCGCTGAGGTTCCAGGAGACGCTCTGGACCAGGTCGCCGGCCGCCTCGAAAATGTCCTGCGTCAGCTGCACGCCCGCGCGCAGCCATTCATCCATCAAGGATGCCGTGCGCACCGCGGCAGCCACCACCAGCATGCGGAGGCCGTTCGCCAAGGCAACCCCGCCGCCGTCCATGGCCGCCGCTCCCGTGGCCGACTGCGCCACGCACAGCCCCACGAGCACGCCCTTGGCGTGGTCGTAGCTCTGGCTGGCCTTGCGAGTCCCCGCGAACCCGGCTGCTGCCAGCGAGTCGCCCAGCGGGCGAGAGGCAGCCGGGGGGGGGGATGCCGCTGCCAGCATCTCCTCGTGCTCTCGGTCGGTGTAGGCGCGACCGTTCAGCCACTGCCCCGTCCTGACCCAGAAGTCGTCGATGTAATTCTTCCAGACCGATCCGTAGCGTCCGCGGCCGGTCCCAGTGAACAGCTCGTCGGTGCAGAACTGGAAGTCGAAGGGCCCCGTCGCTGGCCCCAGCTGCAGCACCTCTGGGAGGTACCCTGCCCCCGGGGTTTCAACAGTCCCCCCAGGAACCCCTTCGCGGTTCTCAGTGTTACCAGAGGTTGATGCCCGAGGCCGTCCATCTGCCAGGATGAGGCGCCAGAGCCACACGCCGCCCCCCCCCGTGACGTCTCGCAACCCGGCGATGTAGTAACACGAACATCACCTATTCCTGCGTTGACCATGCGGTTAAGTCCACGCGGTCGACGCCTTCCGCCGCTCGCGTTGGCTCCTTGGTCGGAAAGGCCCAGCTGCCCCAAGGGCGAGTAGGGCCCCCTGAGTACAGCCTTGTTCACTACCCCCGCGGGGGGGGTGGGTGGTGGGGGGGGTGGGGTGGGGGGGTGGGGGGTGGGGGGGGGGGGGGGGGGGGGGGGGGGGGGGTGGGGGGGGTGGGGAGTGGGGGGGGGGGGGGGGGGGGGGGGGGGGGGGGGGGGGGGGGGGTGAGCTCCCCTCGCGGACGATGGTAGCCTCGGGGCCCTCAGGCGGATCGCGGCCACGCACAGGCAAGCCGGTCGTCACCACGTCGTGCTTGAAGCCGCGCATGACCGTTCGCGCGGTGCCCTTCACCCAGAACGCCTCGGCCTTCAGGCTGATCATCTCCTTCAGCGCCTCCAGCTCCTGGCTGCCCAGGTGCTTGTAGCCCGCGCACTCGCCGACGAGCCCGACCGCCTCCAGAACCTTGGCCTTGTACTCCGCAGAGCGCCTCGGCGAAACCTTCACCTCGGCAAACCTGAAGCACTTGCCGGGCATCCGCACCTGGTCCCAGTCACCCTTCTTGGCCAGCTCGGCCCACTTCTTCTTCGCCGCCGCCGCCGCCGGCTCCCGCCGTGCCTTCTTTTCCGCCATCTCGGCGTCGCTCAGCTTGTCCACCGACCTCGTCACCCCAGCAGCCGGAGCGGCCGCGCGTCCCGGCTCGCAGGGCATGCGGGGCCCCTCCAGCGCCCGCGCGGCCCCGATCATGGAGCTCCCGGCGACGCTGCCCAGCTCCGCGGAGGCGACCTCGACGCCTTCGAGGCCGCGCCCTAGCGGCCGCAGCGCTCCACGGCGGCGCTGGACGTCCAGCAAGTCCAGCGGGAAGTTGCCCACGATGACGTACGGCTTCTGCATGGCCAGGGGCTCCTCATCCGGGCTCCTGCAGTGGAACATGCAGCCGTCGGGGAGCACGTAACGCCAGCGCCCGCGCGGCGCCTCGGCTGACCCGAACCGTTGCTGCCACTCCACGCTCGCCACCAGCGCGTGCGCTCGCGGGCCCTCGAAGGAGGCCAGGCAGCCCGCGCCGTCGAAGTGCTCGAGGCCGTCCATGGTGAAGGAGGCTAGCGCGTGCGCGTTGGCGTCGGGCTGGTGGCCCCCGAGGCTGCTCCACTTAGCACAAGGGAGCGCCCAGTGGGCTCCTGCCGGCCTCAGCACCTCGAAGAGCAGGTAGCGCAGCCGGGCACGGTCCTTAGCCCTGCTGAGGTCCCAGTACTGCCCGTACGTCCTGCGCTTGAGGTCGATGCCGGCCACCACGCTGCACACCGCGTTGGCCGCGCCTAAGCTCCGGACCGCCTGCGAGAGCCTCCCGACCCCGTCGAAGATCTCCACGAAGAGGGGAGCGCCGTGCGCCCACGCCTGGACCTCGCCGATCTTCAGGTCGAGCTCCTCGAGCGGGCGGCAAGCTGCGACGAGCGCGATGACGCGGCTCGAGGGGAGGTCGGAGAGCCGTGGCGCGGCCGGCGTTACTGCCGCCGCCGCCAAGGCGCCGTGACGCACGGTCCCCTCGTCCAGCCGCCAGCCGGCCCGCGCCAGCCTGCTCGCTGCCGAGTGGTTCAGCACGCCCTTGTTGAGCTCCACGACACCCAGCACCCGCTTCGCCTCCAGTGTCTCGACTCTCTGCCGCTGGAAGTCCGCGCCCTCCTGGCGGTCGCACGCCGCTGTCCAGACCACCTGCAGCCGTCCGTCGACCGCCGCCTGGTACACGTGCACCGTCACGCTGCTCAGGTCCTCGGCCAGGCTCAGCACCTTGCCCACCCTGCAGCGCTTCGCCTCCTCGCCCTGGTAGGCGACAAGCCGCCCGACCTTCACCTCTCGCATCCGCGCCTTCACGCGCGGCGCCAGCGCCTCGGCGGCCTCGCCGCCTCCAGGGGCCAGCCGCGCTGCCAGAAGCTGTCCGGCAGAGGCCCTGCCACGGCCGTCGTCCTCCTCCAACTTCACGATGCGCTCCGTGTCGTCAACCAAGCCCGGGACGCCGACCAAGAAATCCCCGTGGACGTCCTTGAGCACCTGCTGGGTCTCGGGGTCCCGCAACGTGGCCACGTTGCCCTTCGTGGAGAGGACCTCGAAGGGGCCACGCAGAGGCCGGCGGCCTGGAGCGTGCCCGGCCACGGCCTTGGAGAGCTTCGGGTCCTTGAACAAAACCATGTCCCCGACCTCCGGGCGTCTCGACGATCTCGCGCGATTGGCCAGCTCCGCCCTGCGTCGGCCGGCTCGAGCCCGATGCTGAAGATACACCTCCCGCAAACGCCTGAACTGCTCGAACTGCGCTGCCGCGACGTCGGAGACCGCCTCACGAACGGCGGGCTCCAGCGGCAGCAGCTCCCTCTCCAGCGGCGAAGCCAGCGACCAACCCATGCAGAGGTCCCTCGGCGACAGCGCCGACTTGCCGGGCGAGTTCCACAACGCGAACTCGACGATCGGCAGCAGCTCGGCCCACTGGCCGGGGGCACTTAAAAACGTCGTGCAGGAAAATGCCGATCTCCCTCGCGCACTCGATGTGGGACCGCTCCGCGTCCGCCTGCTCACAGGGCCTCCACGACGTGCCGAAGCGGCCCGCGAAGTTGAGGAGCGCCCAGAGCTCTTCCATGAGAGCGTTGCAGAACTCCTTGCCCCGATCCGAGCTCACAAGCATCGGCCAGGTCTTGGCCCGAGTCGCGCATCGAAAGAAGGCACGCCGGACCTCGGAGTGCTGCAGGTGCTTGAGCGGCTCGAGCAGGGGCGCTCCCGTCGTCACGCAGATGTAGGTCAGCACGTACGCGTACCCGTCGACGTCGGGGGGGGCGATGCGGCCCTCCACGTCGATGACCACATGATGAAAAGGAAGCCGGTGCCGTGCCACGATGAAGCTGGCCTGCACCTTCGTAGTTTGCTTCCTGAATCGGAGGCAGGCCCAGCAGCTAGCACACCACTTCTCGATGTCCGCCGCGAGCCCCGGCCAAACCACCAGCCGCCGGGCGCACTCACGAGTGGCGACCACCGTCTTGTGGCCCCCCGACGGGCCAGCGTGAACGTGGAGGAAGATGAAACGCCTCCACGATATACCCGAGCCCGGTCCGCCAGACGCAGGGAGAACTAGCAGCCAGCGCTGCTCCCCTGGGCCCACCGTCACGAACTGCTCGAGCGCGAAGTCCTCCCCGAGGCGCTGCGCCTCGGGGGTGTCGCCGGCGCCAGGCTCGGCGCGGAGCTGCATGCAGGTGGCCCCGCACTCCTCGTCCTTCCACTGGTCCCCGATGATGTGGGCACGGAGCGACTTGGACAGCTCGAACGGCTCGCTCCCCGCCTCAGGCTCACAGCCCCGCACCTTCGCGGCGTACTCCTCCCTGATGGCGATGTCGGCGTCCTCCAGCTTGCGCCCGTCCGCCACCTCCGCGTCGAAGGCTGCAGTGCCGCGCTCCGGGGCACATGCCACGCGCCCGACGGAGCACACCTGCTCAGACGTCGGCGCCCGCATGCCGGTGATCGCCCCGAGGACGTCCGGCACCTCGAAGGCCTCCCGCTCGCCGCGCGCGAAGTCGGAGTCCGCGAACTCGACGAAGGCTCCTGATGCCCGCCCGCCGAAGCGATCGCGGAGGGCCCGGTACCACGATAACCCCAGGGCTTCCGCGAAGACCTCGGAGTAGGCGGAGGAGTAGGAGGACACCTTGACGACCGCACCGTTGCAGATGGCCGACCCCCTGCAGTGCCGATGCACGTGAGTAGCGCCCAGCGCGGGGAGGCGCGCACCGCCCTCCCACAGCAGCCCGGCGCAGGCGAAGAGCTGGACCAGCTCGGCGCCCTTCGGCAAGCCCGCCTGCAGCAGCTCCACGTCGATCTCCGTGACGACGACGATGGTGTGGGGGTATGGGGGGGTATGGGAGGTTGACTTAAGAGTAAGAGTGTAAGGGGGGGGAATGACACGTAAGGTGAAACGAGAGTATAGAAACAGTTTGAACCGGCGGACGGAGCTCCAGCCCCAGACTCCACGCACGGCTTGGGCGCCTGCGCCACCTCCTAACGCCCGCCCGGCCCCTTGCGGCACGACAAAAAAAAGCAGCAACGACAAATCAGAAGACATACCAATCGGAAAAACCCCGCGCGGCCTCCAAGGCCACGACGCCCGCAGCCGGCGCTCGGCGGACCCGGATGCAGTTGCACGTGAAATCCGCCCGGCCGCCGCCAAACTCCAGGAGGTCCCGCACGAGCTCCGCCGACACGGCGATGCTGGGGCCAGGCCCGACGGCGACTGCCGGCTGCGGGCGGACCGCGCGCATGCGCGCCGCCGAGGCCGCCTCGTCGACCACGTCGGGCTCCCCGAACGCCTCCTCCGGCGCCTCAGCCAGCCGCGCCTCCTCCTCGAGCTCGCGGTCGGCCCTGATGCACTGGCCGCACCGCGCCAGCACCAGCGAACTCCGCCCGCGCGCGCAGCGCCCCCCGCTGAACTCCAGCATCCGCGGGGGGGCAGAGACCACCTCCTGCATGAGGACCTCGCCCAGCGCGGCCGACACCTTCACGCCCAGCGCCTCGCCGAGGTCCTGCCCGAAACGGCGGTGCGCCCCGGCGCCCTCCACCAAATAGAGGGGGGCCGGGCGCTCGTCGCCGTGGGCAGCCGCTCCGAACTCCGGAAACGCCTCTCGCACAAAGCCGATCCTGCTCGGGCTGTGGGCGCGCGGCCCGATCGCCACGAACGCCCTGACGTTCACCCACGCCTCCGCGACCTGCATGCCCTCCGCCTCTCTCGCGTGCCGCAGCGCGAGAGCGGCCTCCACCACTCTGGGGTGGGCCGCTGCAGCCGCCACCAGCCCGCCGTGGCCCGTCCCGATCACGACCTTGGGCCACCGCGCGGCACACTCTCGCAAGACGGCGGCCACCGCGGTCAGCCCGTCATTGCGAAGCTGCTTCCGCGCCTTACCACTCGCATCACCTGGGAAGCGAGGAGGCGCGATGTAGTACAGGCCGCCGGCACCGTCTGCCAGCGGAGGGTCGTGCGGGATCATGCGCAGCCGCAGGCCTGGCGCCGCCAGCTGCAGCTGACGAGCTGCTCGCGCCTGCTCTGCGCTCCGCCGCCTCTCGCACCCGTAGTCCGGCAGGTACAGCGCGATGGAGTCGCCCTTCTCGCGCTCCGCCCCGGCCACGGCCACCAGCTGCAAGGCGGCCGCGTCGGGAGTCTCGTCCAGGCCCCACGGGGCCCCCTCCCCCGGACGGTAGTCATCACCGATGATGTCCTCGATCGTGATGTTCGCCAGGGAGTGAGCCTGCTCGCGCAGGAACTTGCCGTGGGCCTCGTTCTCTCGGGAGGGGCCATCACCAAGGGCCGCGCTCCGCCCCGAGAGATTCATCAGCCTGCTGCCGTCGCTCTCGATCTCGCCAACCCAGCGGATGACGGTGGAGTCCGTCTCGGCCTCACCCGTAGCGTCCTTCACCGCTGCCGCGTGGTCCGTCCAGCACAGGGTGGGCAGCCGACCGAAATCCTTACGTGCCTCCCGCCTGGTCTCCCGCTGCGCATACAGCTCACCCCTGCGGGGGTGCCAGTTGCTCTGCGCCAAGCTGAGGCAGCCGCCGTACATCGCCAGCACGTTGAGCGTGCGGCGGTCGGCGGCCAGCTGATACACGCTGCCGCCCCAACCGTAGGGGCAAAAATCCGCGACCTGCTCGAGCGGGCGGTCCTTCGAGATCGCCCCGACCATGTCGATCACCGCGAGGCGGATGGCCTCGCACGCGAGCTGCTGGATGGCGCGCTGGGCCGCAACCTTCTCGGAGGTCATCGGCCACTCGGCGTCCTTCTTGAGCTGCTGCGTGAGGATCCCCAGCGGCTTCTGCTCCTCCTTGGGGAAGTGGCCGCGGATCCAGTTGAACGTGCCAAGGAACCTCCGCAGCGCCGCCACGTCCTCGAGCACCGACCAGTTCTTGATGAGCTCCAGATGCCGCTCGCACGCCTCGCTGCCCTCGCGGCCCACGATCTCGCCGAGTGCCTCGATGGAGGGCTGAGCCAGCCTGTCGAGGGACTTCTCGGCACCCATGGAGTACCCGGCCGCGATGCACACGTCCAGCAGGCCTTCGACCGCCAGGAGATGCTCGAGGAGGGTCGTGGCCGCCTTCGGGTACTTCCGCTGCCAGTAGACCAGCCGCTCGGCGTAGTACTCGTCCGTCGGCACCTCCAGCTCAACGATGTCCCGAAGCTCGTCCCAATCCTGCCACACGTGCGCCACCGACGGGTCGTCGCTGGCCGGCTCGCCATCGGTCTGAATCACGGCGCCCACGATGTCGCCGACCTCGATGCTGACGCCGGGCTGGTCCCAGTTGCCGACCAGGACGAGCTGCTCCCGGCCAAGCCAAGGGCCGGGGGCGGCCCAGACGGCCGCCGCGCCATTCGCCACCACGTCGCCGACGACACCCGCTGCGAGGCCGCTAGCGCGAGCTGGCACCAGCGCGCAGTCGCCGAGCTCCTGCCGCACGCCCTCCTCGCCGCTCAGGTAGATGGGGACGGCGGACTCCGAGTCGTCGAGCACGATCACGCCTGTGTCGCCGCCGCCGAACTCCGCGGGGCACTGGCCGCCGACCATGCAGATGGGGTAGCTCGGGCAAGCCGCGCCGGACCACGCCAGGGATCCTACAGCACTGGAAGCCCGACGATCCTCACCTCGACGCCTATCGGCATCGCACTCTGAGAACACCGCCGAGATGGTCAACAGCTTCGCTTGCACCGCGTCGGCCTCTGCACGCTTGACCGTGATGCCCAGCCCCGGTAGGTAGTGGCCCTGAAGCGTAGGCCGGTGCCCGATCCCCAGAGGGGGTGCATCGAGCGCTGGGGCCCCAAGAATGATAAGAAACGGCCTGTCCCAACCCCCGCGCAGAAGCCGAAGGCGAAACACGCGCACCACTCGCGTGCCGTCCAGCCCCTCGAAGGCCAGGCGCAGGTCCACCATGCCACGGATCTTCAGGTCGCCCTTGTCCGCCACCGACGAGGCCTTCGAGTCCCGGCCCCAGTGCATCAGGCCCGCGATCGGCCAGTCAGGGTCCTCCGGAGACTTGCCCTCCGCGATCGCGCCGTTGATGATGCTGACGATCGTCGCCTCCCACGTCAGGGAGAACACGGCCCCGCCATCAAGGAGCGTCCTGATGCTGAGGCCGTAGACATGCGTGTGGCACAAGTAGTGGTACCCGTCGTCGGGCTCCTGCGCCTGCGCCCAGGCGCTGGCGGGGATCTGGTCCAGGTCCTTCAGAGCTCCTTCGGGCGAAGGCGAGCCCCTGACGACGCTCACCTGCGGGAGGTCGTAGCTCGGGCCGAAGACTCCGCCACAAGGTCGCACCCACTCGAGCTTGCCCCCCGCCGCAGCCTGCACCTTCGGCGCCGCGCCAGAGGCTGCGGGCCGCGCCGCCTCCTCGGCCGCAGGCGCTGCTCCCTGGCCGCTGCCGGGGGGCCCGCGCTGCCGAGGCTCGGCGGCGGCGCCTTAGCTGCGGCCGCGCCAGCATAGACCGCTGCAATGACCTTCTGAGCTGCCTTACCCGAGTGGCTGAACTTGCAGTCCTTCTCGCTCTTGCTGCACGCACCCCGGAGGAACTGCAGGCAGAGCTGCGACTTGAGGCCGCCCTTGCCGCCGTCGTCCGAGCCCTTGCCCTTCTTGCCGTCCGCGCCCTTGCCCTTCGGCCCGGCCGCGTCCTTCTTGGTCCTCCGCGACTCGGCGATGGCAGCCCGGTCGTGCGAGAACCTGCAGGCGTCGCCACGGGCACACGTGCCGCTGTCCCGCATCTGGAAGCAGACCTTCACAGCTCCCTCAGCGCCGGCGCCGCCGGAGCCGCCAACAGCGCCGACCTCGGGCGGCTCCTGATCGCCGCCACCGCCGCCGCGCCGACGCCGGCCACCGCCGCCGCCCGGGCTGGGCGCGAAGTCCGAGCCCACCGCCGCGACGAGCGCCTTGGCCGAGCTCTCGGCCTCCTCCAGCTTCAGCAGCACGCGATGGGCCTCCCTCCAGGTCTCGACGCCGCGGACCTCGGGCTGGGCGCCAGAGCGCTGATACACCCGGCGATCCTTGAGCACCTCTGCCCGGTGCGCGGGAGGGATGAGCGCCAAGTAGCCGAGCAGCAAGTCACGATCGGACTTGCCCATCCCAGCCAGCTCCATCTCCGCCACGATGTTCTCGAACGTCGCCTGAAACTCCAGCGCGCTCATCCTGCCTCGGGAGAGCGTCCTCCACTCAGCGTTGAGCCGCTGCTGCTTCTCCAGCAGGCCCTCCTTGAACTCCATCAGCCTCTCCTTGAGGCTCTGGTACACCTCGTCGGGATCCGCCGCCAGCCTGCCTGACCGGCGAGCCTGCTTCAGCTCGACCTTGTCAGCCCGCTGACGCGAGCCTTTCAGGCAGGTCCCCAGCACACGCACCATCTCCGTCGCCGACATGCCCGAACCGTCGTTCGCCAGGCCGACCATCTCCTCGAACACCTCCACGAACGACTCCACGTCGAAGTCGCCGTCGCCGAGGGTCGGCAGACTGTAGTGCGGCTTCACCTGGATCGTCGACGACTTCTTGTCGGCCCGCCGGCCGAGCGCCCCCGCGAGCCCCTGCAGCGCTGCCGCCAAGCTGGGCTCCGCCTGGCCCGCCTCGCTCGGCCCGCCCCGCGGGGGAAGCCCCGGCGGCAGGTCCTCGCCAAAGGCGGGGAAGGCGGGTGGCCCCGCGGGAGCCGCGCCGACGCCGGTGGGCGGGTGGCCCCGCGGGGAAGGCGGGTGGCCCCGCGGGGGCCGCGCCGGCGCCCCGCCGGCCACGGCGTCGCGAGCGCTGCCGCCGCCGCGCGCCACCGCGAGGAGGTCCATCAGCGCCCGCACGTCCTCGTCGGCGTCGTCCGTCTCGACGTCCAGGACGGCGTGCAGCTTCGCCTCCAGCGCGGCCGCCACGCCCTCGCCGTGGGCCCGCGCCTCCACCAGGAAGCGGGCCTTCCTCATGCCGAACTCGACTGCGCCCTCGGGCACCGCCTGCCGCCGCAGCGTCAGCACAGCCCTAGCGCGCAGCAGGCGCCGCTCGAAGTCGCGCATCGACTCGTGCAGCTCCACGTCCTTGAGCAGCCGCTCCAGGACCTCGTCGTCCGTGAGCGGCCCCCAGCTGCCGTCCGACAGGGCTCCAGTGGCGTCGGAGCCCGCGTCGGACGCCCGCGCCGGCGAGTCCAGCAGCCGCAGGACGTCGTCGGCCGCCGGCGGCTGCGCCGCCGCCGGCGTCGCGGGGCTGCGCGCCGCCGCGGGGCCCTGCTGGCGCAGCCGCGCCTGCCAGTCGTGGCCGTGCAGCGCCTCCATGGTGCTCCGCCACAGCGCGCTCTCGCTGGCCGCGATCGCGGGCGCCGTGCGAAGCCGGCGACCTGGGCCGGCGCGCCACTGCACCCAGGCGCCGAAGGCCAGCAGCGGCGGCTGCGCCACGGCCCCGTCGGCGATCGCCTCCAGCAGCGAGCCCTCGAAGCCGGCGACCTCCACGCCAGCGCCGGCGCCGGAGGCGGGTGGCCCCGCTGGGGCCGCGGCTGCCTGCGCCGACGGCGCGCCAGCCTCCGCGCCCGCCTCGGCGTCGCCCACGTCGGCGTCGCCCAGCTCCGCGCGCGGCGCCCGCGCTGGTGACGCCATCGCCCGGGCCCGGGCCCGCTCGGGAAGTCGTTTCCCGGAGCAGCCCCCACGTGAGGCTCACCTGGAGCCTCGGCCCCCCTGGGCCTCGAGAGCGGCCTCCTCGAGCCGCCCTCGGGCCCGCCGGGCCCTTGCGGGCCCTCGGACCCCGGGCGGGCCCCCCCGCGCCTCCCCCCCGCGCTTCTGAGGAGAGGGAGGAGGGGGGCCTTTCTCCTCTTGAGCCACGCGGCGGCGCGGGGCAAGCAGCCGCCGTCGCCGGGGCCGTCGTCGCCGGCCCGCACTCCGCCGCCTGTGCGCCCATGCCGCTCCTCACGTAGTCGTAATCGTAGTAGTAGTAGTAGTGCTAGTACTAGTACTAGTAGTAGTAGTAGTAGTAGTAGTAGTAGTAGTAGTAGTAGTAGTAGTAGTAGTAGTAGTAGTAGTAGTAGTCGTAGTAGTCGTAGTAGTCGTAGTAGTCGTAGTCGTAG